TAGGGGCCTAGATGCTTTCATTGAGTACGACATGTACTTACGCTTGCTTTATTTTTCAATTATTTGGATAAAAATCTCGGATGGTTACTAGATTACTTGTCTGGAGGAGTTCGGCTTGTGATCAACCAGTCAGTTGTCCCTATGGATTGGAGTCTTCATCCGAAGATCGGAGTTGTCTTTCCGTTGTTTGCTGTTTAAGGTTATATCCTTTATACTAAGTACGTTATATATTGAGTATTGTCATTTGATATTACCCTTATTTATAGCTATATGTGAGATTTGACTACCTGGACTCACATATGGTGCATATCTAGTTTTGTTCTTAAAACCGGGTGCTACAGATTAATGAATTTTTTATTCATTACGACCGAGCCTCATGTACAAGGTCGAGCTCTAGCCTTTTTTCTGCTGAGGTCCATAGCGTAGCGTGTAAGGCTCTGTTCGGTAGAACTTATTACTGCTACGGCTGATTTGTTGAGCTAATTTATTGTGAGAGAAAACCACTGCTTCATGGCTAAAAAGGTAGAACTTATTTTGACTTATAAGCTCAAGCAAACAGAACCTAAGATCGACCTTCAGGATTCCAACTAGGCCTTAAGACCTGTTCTTTTACACACTCTAAATGCCCTTACTCACGAGACCCACTAGAGAATATAGAGTATCTAACATGGCTGTGTTTCAGAAAATTAACAAAGAGAAAATGTTTAGTATAAGTAATTTTTATTAGTTAGTGTCTCCTAGCTAGGATTCTAGCGTGTGCGAGACCACTGGTTCATTGACTAGTTTTTAGATATATGGAACAACGAATCTACCTCCATTGGACTTTGAAATAGAGTTGACTTCACAGCCGATCTTAATTTGACAACCATTGCTCTCCATTTCTTCCCTTACCTGCCGATAGATAAATAGGTCATGTGATACATGATCCTTTATATTTTTTACCAAAAAAAATTGTGTGCAGTACCTTGTTCACGTAGGACTCCGAGCCACCTTTGACGGTAAGCCATTGTGAGCGACTAAAAACCTGAATGCATGCATAATTCCATTGGATTATTTCGCATGATAATACTAGTAAGACTGACAAGACCTTTTGATCCACCGTGAATTAGAATGGAGAAGAAATAAAAATCTGAAGAAGATGTATAGGCACCTCAAGAAGCTGATTGTCGCCGAAAAATGAAAGCACAAAGAGGGCAGGGAAGCCCAATACTCGTTGTGATGGACTGGACCAAATGCATGAACACATTGGGATCTGTAGACAATATACAAATTTTCCAGCGTCTTGAAACGATACCAGAGCTGGAGAAGAGTATGAATACGTGAATTAGTAACATACAAGGTAGGCATCCTGGAAGAGCTGTGAATATCTATGTGACTGAATGAATTGGCCCAAAGTCTCGTTCTGCTCAGAGCTTCTTTAATGGTCCTCCAGGTACCTTCAAATCAAAACAGAGGATAAAAATTATGAATTGTTCAGAGTGACTGCATACGACGTACGGCATAATGCACAAACACTCATCATTGGATCCATTGTGAACTCACTTGAGGGCATGATTCTTGAACTTGAATATCTCATGGATCACGAGCCAGAATCTTGGGCTAAGCAAATTGCTCTTCTGCACGAATATACCTAGGCCGTCCATCTGTCTGGACGCCTCACTCCACCCGCGCCGCTCGCTCCAGCCCACGCCGTGTGCCCTGACCGCCACGGCCGTCTCCATCTACCCACGCCCCCACCCCCGCCCGCTCGGATTCGCTGCCTCCACCGCGCCGCGTGGACTCGTTCCGCCTGCCGCGGCCGACACCACCATGCCAGGGTGCCTCCATCCACCTACCACGGCTACATCCACCGCGTTAGTTCGCTTCGTTTCCCATGCCATGTTGCACTGAAAACGCGTGTTGCAAACGTATGTTACATGTGTTTCAGATGTATAAGAGGTACGTTGGAAGTGTTTCATATGAAAGCTGCAAAGGTAGATTCAGATGTTGCACATGTTGCAATGGCTATACACGTATGTTGCAAGTGTTTGTTTAAAATGTTTCATCCGTTTCAGACGTATGTTGCAAGTGTTTTATTTGGATGTTATGTTGCAATGGTTATGTTGCAATTGTATGTTTCAAATGTTTCATCTATTTTAGACGTATGTTGCAATTGCTTTATCTGAGTGTTGCAAAAGTAGATCTGAATGTAGGTGTGGAGGAAGCCCAAGCTCTCGGTGGTCGTGCTGCTTCCCGAGCAGTGACAAGGAGATGGTCGGCTACTGCGCCTCCCTGGTGTGGTGAAAATGGAGGCTGTGGACATGGGAGTGGCATAGATGGGATGCTACGGCAGATCGGGCAGGATGTGGAGTGGTGTTGAAACTGGCGGTCTCAGACAGTGTGGAGGAGGTAGAGGCCTCCGCCTTTCAGACGGTGTGGAGGAGGTAGAGGTCTCCGCCTGCTACGCCGCTCCTCCCGGCGGAGGCACGGGAAACAGGCGCGATAAATGGGCGAGTAAGGAAATGGCACGCAAAACTAGGGTTTCATTAATTCTTCCACCAACCACCCGCACGGTTACAAGTGTTCCCTATTTATAGGGCTCAACTACTTCCTGACAGAATTTATTACAATGCCCCTCAACTGCTACAGTATATTCCTGGAATATTCCGACACTGGTCTCTCGTTTGCGGGGCAATCCTGTCACGCCGTCTCCAAGTAACGGGCCTCCATAAGCAGCCGGCCCACCGTGCTTCAATCCTCGGCCCAAAGACTCGGGTTCCTGATGCTGACCTCCGTCTTTGGGGGCGCGCCGTCGCCTTGGTGGGTCTCCGCCCGGCCGCGCGGGGGCCATGCTGGCACACTCGCGCGGACCACGGGCGCCTGCGCTTGAGTACCTGCACACACTTAGGCAAGATTGTTTATTTAATTAGTTTAGAGGTAAGGCGGTCTCCGCCCTCATGGTCGGTGGCGCCCGTGAGCCGAAGCGGGGCGGCATCCGCCTGAGCATAGGTCAGAGGTCTCAGCGTACGGGCTGGACGGAATTCGCGACAAGCCTGCCGAGCCTCGTGTAGTGCCCTACGAGCTTAGCCAGGAAAGTTCTTTTAGTCAGCGCCAGGTCTCCGCCCCAAAACGGTCGAAGGCGCCTTAGCAACACTTGCTGTCGGAGGCCTTCGTGTGGTATCCGATGTGACACTCTAAAATTTTACCCTCTGAATTTAAACGAGGCCTAAACTATCCGTTCAGAACCAGAACTGGAATCAGCCAATATTTTAATTCTACGGTGTACCTAGTATCTACCAACTGTCACTACTCTGTTGCGGTGAAAATCTGGTAACAGTCACTCGAGCATCTGCTTCTCTGTATCAGGAGCAGACGATCATGGCGCGTTGACGACCGTGCAAAAAAAAAAAAGCGTGCAAATGGCGTGTAGATTTGAGGCTGCCGAGCAGTAAAATCGACAATGACTACCGTTGTTAATTTTAAGAGCTTTGTTTGGCTGGTTAGACAGTACCACCATTAGTGGCCCTGATCGCCTGCAGTCATGGACACATGGTGGTACAGCTGCAGCTGAATCTAAACTGGTTAGCACTGCATGGCTACAGCCGGGTAGTACTGCGTTTGGCTGTTGCCTGATGACTGTGTTCTCACGAGGGAAACGTGGTGCTGTTGGCTAATGACTGCAGCCGATCAGGCTAACCAATATTTTTTGTTTTTTTTTACTTTTACTTACCATTAGTTTCAGAAGATGATTAATAAAATTACAATTAAGAATTACCATTAGTATTGTATCTAAAGTTTGTTGTCGGAGACACTCTAGGCCAACCGTCGTTCTGCCACACTCCTCCATGGCCGGCCAGCACGTACTGCAAGCCACCCACGGCCATTGCTCTGTTCGCTGGACTGATAAGCCATGACTAAAAGTACTATTGATTGATTTGTTGTAAACGAATAGGGCGTCAGTAGCCTGATTCTTCCTGTGCCCTCCAATTAATCCAATCGCGTACTTGGCTGCTCCACTGCTACAGTATATATACACACACGGACATGGTTGCCTGCAGATGGGAGCAGGAGAGTTACGGCATATTCGCTTATTGGTTTCAGTTAGGGCTTATCAGCCAGCCAACAGTATTTTTCTCTCACAACAAACTAACATCAGTCAGTTTAAATTAGCTCAGAAACCCACCAACGAACGTGCTATTAGCGTGGTACACGGGGGGTGCCGGTGTTGGTGGAGGCTGTAATGGTGGCGGTGGTTGTTGAGAGGGCAAATGCGCGCGCGAAAGCCATGCCACTCACGTGTGTGCGCCCCTGTGCACGCACATGCCCAGCTCGCATGACGGTGATCGATCAGCGGAGAACTGGAGCCTGGAGGAGGGAGCAGGAGGGCCGGGCAGTGGCCGCAGTGCGGCGATGAAGTGAAGTGAGTGATCGGACGTGCCATCATCACTGACGTTCAAGGAGCAATGAGTGATCAGGCCAACCAACCTTATGAAACCATAAATGAATGAGAAAATTTCTTATTTGGCCCGTGGAAGTGGCCGGCGCGGCAGCGTCGTTTGCCCGCGCCGTGGCGGGCCAAAATGTTAAATTTAAAGAAAAAAAATAGTATTAGAATCAAAAATAGTTTAAAAAAAATGTTAAAAATAAAAAAAAATCACCCAACCCAATTAGAATAGGTTCAACTCATTCCACGTCCTTCAAAAACTAAACACACGCTCAGTGTGTCAGACACATGGAGAATGTGGTCATGCATCCATCTGGTAGAGCATCCTGATCTCAACGAATTCTGGGAAATCGGATCTTTGACTTTTATAGTGCTAGCTGTTGGACTGAGTAGTTTGCTACCATTAGTGCTGTCGTCTTCGTGGCCTACTTGCTCCTTCGTGTTCTACGTGGCTTAATAATGCTGGGGTCTTTATATATGAACAAAAATGAAGCCAAGCTTCCAAAGCAAATCACAGCATTAGTCACCCGGTGCTTCTGTGAACCGCTAGTTTCCTTTTCATTTCGTGTACTTGGCCATGGGTAGCCTTCCACTGGACGACGCCCTTTTCTCCCTAAACCCGGATACATTCGCCGAGGAATCGACCGCCGTGGTCGACTTCCTCGCCCGCTACTACCGCGACATCGAGCGGTACCCGGTCATGGCCCTCGACGCCAAGCCAGGGTCCATCCGCAAGGTTTTCCCCGACGCGGCGCCCGAGACGGGCGAGTCCATGGACAGAATCCTTGACGACGTGCAGCGGGACGTCCTCCGGGGCTGACGCACTGGCAGAGCCCCAGCTTCTTCGCCTACTTCCAAGCGAACGCGAGCGGCGCGGTTCGCCGGCGAGATGCTGTCGACCGGCCTCAACGTCGTGCCATTCATGTGGAAGGCGTCGCCCGTGGCCACCGAGCTGGAGCAGGTCGTGGTGGATTGGATGGCCGGGCTCCTCGGACTGCCGGAGCTATTCTGCTTCGCGGGAGGCGGCGGCGGCGTGCTGCACGGGAGCACGTGCGAGGCCGTGGTGTGCACCCTTGCCGCTGCGCGCGACCGTGCGATCAGCAGGCTCGGCCATGCTGCCATCCTTAGGATGGTCGTATACTCCTCCGACCAGACCCACGCCACCTTCCAGAAGGGTGCCAGGATCGTCGGCATCCCTCCGGCGAACTTCCGTGTCCTGCACACGACGGCGGAGTCCGGGTACGGCCTGAGTGCGGACACTGTCCGAGCAGCGGTCGAGGAGGACGTCGCCCGTGGACTGGTTCCTCTGTACCTGTGCGCTACCGTCGGCACGACTGGTCTCGGCGCCATTGACCCAGTCCGCGAGCTCGGTCAGGTGGCGCGCTGTTATGGTAGGTCCACTCATGCATGTAAGGCGTGCACTGGTCGTACTGATGCACGTACTCACTCCGTCCATAAAAAAGAGTCGTCTCCAGAATCATGCTGGTTAAACTTTCTCAACTTTAACAATATTTATAAAAACTACGGGCAACATTTATATTTCTAAATAAAATTATTATGAAAGTATATTTAACAATCTACCTAATGACACTAATTATATATCATAAATATTAATATTTTGTTAAATATATTTCGTCAACTTTTTTATAGGGACAGATGGAGTATGCACTAAAATGGACCACAGCTCCAGTGTTGAAACGATTTCATAGATACTCAGTAACTGTCACCTGACAAGAGTCATGATTCTTATAACTATATATATTTCCAACAAATAACAGGAATGTGGCTGCACATCGACGCCGCGTACGCCGGCAGCGCGGCGATTTGCCCAGAGTTCAGGTGTCACCTCGATGGCGCCGAGCTCGCGGACTCGGTGAGCATGAACCCACACAAGTGGTTCCTCACCAACATGGACTGCTGCTGCCTCTGGGTGGCAGACCCGACCGCCCTCACCAGCGCACTGTCCACTGACCCGGAGTACCTCAAGAACGTCGGCAGCGGCGGTGATGTGTCACCCATCGACTACAAGGACTGGCAGATCGCACTGTCACGACGCTTCCGTGCCATCAAGCTCTGGGTGGTGCTGCGGCGCTATGGAGCGGCGGGCATGCGCAACTACATCCGGAGGCATGTTCGGATGGCCGAGTGGTTCGAGCTCGCAGTGGTGGCGGACGAGCGCTTCGAAGTCGTGGTGCCGAGGAACTTCTCGCTGGTGTGCTTCCGTCTCCGCCTGCGGCTCGGGATCGATGATGACGCGGTGGATGGTCTGAACCGCCAGCTCCTTGCTGCTGTGAATGCGAGCGGGCGGGCGTTCATGACGCACTTCGTCATGGACGGCAAGTTCGTCATCCGGCTCGCCGTTGGCGGGGCCATGACCGAGATGCGCCATGTCCGGGACGTGTGGGAGCTTCTCAAGGAGAAGGCTAATGAATTGGTTGGGGGCTCATGAGGGGTATTGCATGCATGTAGAGCATGCAACGCACTACTTCCGGCATTTTTGGCTTTTTATTTAATATAATATTTTTCACTATATATATATGGACATTATGCAAATCTAAATGTAAAGTCAAAACATGTAGTAACATGGAATAGAGGGAGTACTATATATTAATCAGTCTGGAACCTATAAAAAATTCCAGACCACAACATCAACCAAGCGTAATCTTAAAGTTTTCCGTGGGATTGCACAATTTTCCATTGAGTTAGATTCAACTCAATCTGAGAATCTAGAGAAAAATAGGTCTGACTGGTTTTTGCGAAGGCTAGGCATGCCCAGGTGGCCTAGTGCAGAAAATCCTCCCTGGCCGGATTTTGAAACCTGCTTGGCCGGTTTAACCCACATATCCAGCCTATCTAATTCTGAAATTTGGCCAGACCTATTTTGCTACATCAGTCTCCCAAAGAAGTGTATTTTCTTCATCCGGACTCCAAACGAGATGATCCAGCTCGACGAGAGTAATATAATGGTATAGTCTGTTATGCAGGTTCACAATTTTGCTGTGAACGAAGAGAAATATATATAGCTTGTTATGATGACACGGGAGCATTGTTAGATTGAGTAGGAATGATGTGTCATTTAGCTATGCTCGAGTCTTTCGAAAAAAGAGGCTTTCGTAGACTTGGGTAAGCAAGCATGTTCGTGGAAAGTAGCCGCTACGTTGTAAAGGGATTTGTAGGGGCAGACTTGGGTAAGCAAGCATGTTCGTGGAGAGTAGCCGCTACGTTGTAAAGGGATTTGTAAGGGCGGTTCAACGGGATTTGTAGAGGTGGTCGGCAAAACGCCTTACCATCCTATTGCTATAATTTTGTAGGGGCGGCTATTTCTAAAAATTCACGAATCCAGGTAAAAAAAATAGCAAAAAATTCTTTTTTAATCCGGGGAGCACCTACAAGTGGACGTCGGGGTTCGAACCTGCAACTCGCGTGTACCCACCTCTACCACTGCACCTAAAACTCACTTGTGTCTATATTGGATATTGGTTCCCCACATATTATCCTAAACCGAGTTTAAATTAACTGTTTAAGGTGTTAAATGAATTCAAATGAAAAAGTTGTAAACTATAAAGTTGTATAACTTTTTGATATCTACAACTTTTATTTTGGTAGTTTCTCCATCCGAGATCGTTTACAAAATTTGTATTTCAAATTTGAGAAATTCAAACGTAGTTTCCCTCGACAAGATGATTTCAAATCAAAATGTTTTCAACTACAAAGTTTTATAACTTTTTGAGATCTACAGCTTTCGTTTTTGCTGATTGTCCATCCAAGGTCGTTTAAAAAATTCAAATTTTAAATTTTTAGAAATGCAAACGTAGCTTTCCTTCACAAGATGATTTCAAATCAAAAAAGTTGTCAACTACAAAGTTTCATAACTTTCCGAGATCTACAACTTTTATTTTGGTTGTTTCTCCATCCGGGGTCATTTGAAAAATTTGAATTTCAAAATTGAGAAATTCAAACATAGTTTTTCTTGACAAGATCCGTTCAATTAAAAAAGTTGTCAACTATAGAGTTTCATAACTTTCTGAGATCTACAAATTTTATTTTGGTCATGTGGTTATTTATTCATCAGACATAGTGGTAGTAACACTGTTCATAAATTTTACATATCACTCTTATATTTATGAAACTATAAGAGAGATATGTAAATTTTATGAATGATGTTACTACAACTTTATCGGATGAAAAAATGACCAAAATAAAAGTTGTAGATCTTGATGAGTTCTGCAACTTTTATGTTCATGAATTTTTAGCTAGAATCATTTAATGTTTCAAAATGACGTTTGAAGTTGTCATTTTTAGAAATTCAAAATTCAAATAGATAAAATACAGTGATATGAAAAGATGGACAAAATAATAGCTGTTAAAACACAACAAATTGGTATAGCATGATTTTAGAAAAACAAATCATCAAATTTGAAGTTAGTATGCGGGAGAAAGACTACTTACAAGTTTTAGTCAGAGATTAAAAAGAGAAATCAGAGTTCTTCAACAATTTCAAATATGAATATCAAACAACATTTCGAAGTACTAAATAATTTCAAAGGAAAAAGTTGTAAACAACAAAATTTCATAACTTTTTGAGATCTACAACTTTTATTTTGGTCATTTCTCCATCCGATGTCATTTGAAAAAATACGAATTTTAGTGTTTCATTTTTATTATTCAGCGTCTATTCGCACCTATAAATCAGGCTATTTGTAGGGGCGACTCATAACACCAGCAGTCCCTACAAATGAATTTGTAGAAGCGGCTCATTTGAGAGGCATTTGTAGGGGCGGCGCAACATAGAGCCGCCCCTAAAAAAAAGAGGGCGTTGCTACAAATTCTTTTTATAGCCGTGAGCGTAAATGTTTTTTAAAAAAGAGAAATTGTTGTGTTTGGTTTGAGAAATAAGGTAATCTATCATTGTGCAACTTATCATTTTTTGGTTTGAGAAATAAGGTAATATAAAAATTCCGACAGTGACGAGGTTTTGAACCTGGCAGTGATCAGCTGTTCTGCAGTAGTGTTTGGTCTGCAGAATGAAGTTAGTTGATGTATTATCACCTTATTTTTTATAAGCAAATAATTAGACTAACACGAGGAATGAAATAATTTCACAAAATCCCGTTAAGTCACGGTGGTTCCAGTTGTGGGAGAAAGTACCAAGTCATTTATAAAGAGCAAGTTAAAGGTCTCTAGTCCAACTGGTTAGAGCGTCCAGCGGCACTCCTCGGGTTCTGGGTTCGATTCTCCGTGGGAGCGAATTTCAGGCTGGGGTTAAAAAAATCCCCTCGTCTGCCCCACGCCAAAGCACAGGTCTAAGGAATGACCCTGTTCTCACAGGGGTACGGTGCCGCTATGTATGGGTGAGGCAGAGGTTCGAGGGTTTTCTGGACCTGCATGAAAAGGTTCTTCTTCTTAATGCAATGCCTGGGGGTGGTTTTCCCCCGCACGTCCAGTTTTTATTTATAAAGAGCAACTGGACCTGAAGTTGGTTGGATCTGTTCCAATCTTATAGCTAGCACGCCCGTCATGACATGTCTTGGGACCAATAATTCGTACATTATGTGAGCCATAAACTATGTGCTAGAAAATAACAAATGAGTAAACCCCCGACCCTTGGTTAGGTAGATGGAGATGTGCGCAGTGCTGGCCGGCCATCGAGGAAAGCAACACTGTGTTTTACAAAAGTTCAACTTGACGTATAGTTGTTGCTATTTTATTGTTACCGGATACATAGATCGAGAGAGATATAGAGTTAATTGAAGTTATAGAAATAACTAGGCTTAGCGCTGATGTCCGCTGATATATAAACAATAGGCGCAATGCAAAACC